TTAGTTTAGACACGAGGGAGATTGGTCTCTCTAAGCGAGATCCCAATTCGTCGGTCATCCGACGTGACGTCTCCGTTCCCTCCTTCAGGGAACGAGGGTTACCATACGTAACCGAGACGTTTTTTAGAGAACTATTCGTTATAGACACTACCTTATTTGTCCTTGTTACTACTATAAATTGGGCTCTGATCAGCCAATCAGGATCCAGTCAATAGCTGTGCAGTTGGATCTTGGATTGTGACTAAGTGGTTCAGGGTTTGGCTCACTCATTACATTACTGATGAAGAGATCAGGCTGATTTGAACCTCTTGTCCTAAATTAGACCATCATTATCAACCTCATTATTTCATTAAACACAAACCTTCAGTGCTCCATTACAGCTTAATTACTCTCCCCCCCCTCTCTCTCTGAAAAAGCACATGTTGTGTTTCAGGATGTCTTTGTGTCGACTTTTTAAATGAGGGATTATGGACTGCATTATTAAATTAAATTAAATAAATAAATAAATATATATTATAATATATATATTAATAATTATTAAATTAGTATTACTGTACATAATGTGAGGAGTAAAGTAATAAACCAATTCAATTCAATTCAATTCAAGTTTATTTGTATAGCGCTTTTCACGATACAAATCGTTGCAAAGCAACTTTACAGCAAATTAAGTTTCTACAATATTTAGTGGTAGCTTATCAGTGGTCACTGTCAGGTAATGTACCTATGGCAGAAATGTACATGAAGTAGCTTTTCTGCATCAGAAACAGGTAACATGTTTCGTAGCTTGGCAATGTTTCTAAGATGGAGAATGCTGTTTTTGTAACATGGGAAATATGATTTTCAAAAGACAAGTTGCTATCTAATATAACACCCAGATTTTTGACTGTAGAGGAAGTAACAGTACATCCGTCTAGTTGCAAATTGTAATCCAAGTGGTGAATCAAGTAGTGTAAACCAGTAGTGAATCAAACTCAGTGTTGTTGCAGTGAATAGATAAACATGATTCTTTTATACCATGTTTTAAATAGTCACATGATTTACTGTTTAGAGTTCATGACTGAGGAATATTGTGTGTATATTATTTACAGTGCTGAAGAGACAAGTGAGCCCAGAGGAACTTCAGACTCCTGGTGGACCTTACATAAAGAAGACATTCACAGTAAGTCACTTTCACACACACACACACACACACACATACACGCGCACACACACACACACACACACACACACACACATGGACACAAGTTTGAGTCTTAATGAGATTTTTCAGTTGGAATGAATGACGTTGCTGCTAAAAGCTCATTATGAAGATACTAGGATACATTTGTGCGGGTTTTCATGTCTTAATTTAACAGCTCCGTGATTTGATTCATATGGACTGGTGCATTAATGAGTGTTTTAGATCTCAAAAGTAGTAATAATTTTCTATGCAGTAATAGTCTGCACAAAAAATGGGGACATTCCATAGGCGTAATGGTTTTTATACTGTACAAACTGTATATTCTATCACCTTACACCTGAACCTACCCCTTATACGAAACTTTCTGCATTTTTACAATTTAAAACTTTCTTTGTTTACTTTATTTTTATACCAGTTTTACAAATGAGGACATACCCAAAGGGAGGTTTTTGGAGATTTTGTCAGGTTTAGCTCATTTTTGGGTACAAATTTGTCTCCAAAATATGGTTAAGTAGGTACACACACACACACACACACTCCTGCCAAATGTGCTCAGACTCCAAGCTCTAATTGCATAACTATGTTTGGTTCTGAGAATCCATTTGCATGGAGGGAAACAGTTCACAACTAAAAATAGCGAGAGGAAGTTTTTCCTCAGATGTGGAGATGATTCTAATCCTCAACTGGATCAACAGGAAAATCCAAGAGCAATTTAGGAGACTTTGAAATTTGATACTTTGTCATCAGCTGCCATGTACCTTACTGTGTATTGTCATTTACTACATGTTTCTTGTCAAGCATTTTGAATAAACCACATCCACTAATAATGACATTTAAAATCCATGCTGAATGCAATTGCACAACACAAACATTTGAACCATATTGCTCCACAACTGCAATACCACCATCTGAATAGAAAAATGACCAAATATATATACACAATATACAAGTATATGGCACAGTAAAAAGATAAAAATCAGCTAAAATAAATCAATATATTTGACATTATGTAAGTATATGTAATGCATTACATTCATTAGAAGTAAAGTAAAGTAAAGTAAAATGAAATGGATATCTCAGTGTATGACCTCGAATGTGTTTGGATGTATGTGTTTGCAGATTGTGGGAGACGCAGTGGGCTGGGGATTCGTGGTGAGAGGAAGTAAACCCTGCCACATCCAGGCAGTAGACCCCGGCGGACCCGCTGCAGCAGTGGGAATGAAGGTACAGTAGTCATACTGCAAAAGGAAATTTGTTATAGTGAGAAAACAGTATGTCTCATTCTACAGGGATGCACTAATATGGAAATTTTGACCAAACCAATAAGCCAATAATTATTTTCAACTTCTGGCCAATAACCAATAAATGGACACAACCCACTATAATGGCTCTTAAAGGGATAGTTCATGCAAAAATGAAAATGTATTCACCCTTAGGCCATTCAAGATATAGGTGACTTTCTTCAGTAAAACACAAATTATGATTTTTTTTGGTGAACCCATGGTCCTTGTTGATTCCTAATATGCAAGTCAATGGGTGCCGTCACTTTGAGAGACGTGAAAACAGGTTTAGGTATAACTCAAAATGAACACCTGTGGCTTCTGACAATATATTGAAGTACATATGACAATATATATATGCTTGAGGCTGTGGATTACAGATAATAATGTTTTGGGCAAATTTTCACAGCCGAAATCAAGTCATTTCAATAGCAATCCATGTGATTTTCACACAGATTTTGCAACAAGTTCAAGTAAAGGTCATGCAGATACAGTGGGTACGGAAAGTATTCAGACCCCCTTAAATTTTTCACTCTTTGTTATATTGCAGCCATTTGCTAAAATCATTTAAGTTAATTTTTTTCCTCATTAATGTACACACAGCACCCCATA